CAAACTCCAACACCCCACCCATAGGCACCCCCCCCCCTTCCCCCTTGTGCACCCCCTACTCCCCCCACCGGCCCCCTACTCCCATCCCCCAACTCTTCTTCCCAAAGCGTTGCAATAGAGAAAAGAGAGAGAGAGAGAGAGAATGAGAGAGGAGAGATTGAGAGATCGAGAGAGATTGAGAGAGAGAGAGAGAGAGAGAGAGAGAGAGAGAGAAGAGAGAGAGAGAGAGAGAGAGAGAGAGAGAGGAGAGAGAGAGAGAGAGAGAGAGAGAGAGAGAGAGAGAGAGAGAGAGAGAGAGAGAGAGAGAGGAGACAGACAGACAGACAGAGAGAGAGAGTGAAGAGAGAGAAAAAGACAAGATATATATATATATATATATATATATATATATATATATATATATATATTATATATAATATATATATAGAGAGCGAGAGAGAAGAGAGAGAGAGAGAGAGAGAGAGAGGCCATTTACCTTACGATTTCCCCCGCAACTTTCTCCTCTGCCTGACCAGCTTATATAACAGCTCGTGCTGCCGTAAGGCTTATGACTCATTAAGTTGTCGTGCGTCAGTCGACCTTATAGCCGTTGTTACACATATTACTTAATATCCAGGCGTGAAAAATGGTGTTATTCCTTTTTTTTTTTTTTTTTAGTTTCGATTCATGAAGATATTTTTTTTTATGTTTTTTAAATCCTATTTTCCACAAAAAAAAACAAAAAAAAATTCTTATTAAAATATTATCGAAAAATAATATTAATAAAAATACTATTAAAAAATATTATTAAAAAATATTATCTTATTATTTTTTAGCTTGTTGCAAGGGAAATTTTATTCTATCTATCACGTCTTGCTTGTGTATGTTAATAAATGAATGTGTCTTGCATGTATAAGTATATGTGCGCATATGTATGTGTATGTATAATGTATTTATGTTGTGTAAATGTACAGATTTGTAAGTGTTTCCTATACACTATGTATATACATTTATGTCTGCATACATCTATATCCATATTGGTAAATGCAGCATGTCCATACTCTTACATCATGGACACATACACACACACACATAAACAAACAAAATACATATAAACAAACAACACCCACCCACACAAACAAACAAAACAAACACACACAAACACAACCAAAACAAAAACATACAAACACACACAACAACAAAAAAACACACCACACATAAACAAACACACACAAAACAAACACCACACAAATCACACAAACACACAAACAAACAAAAAAAAAAAACACACACACATCACACAAACACACACAATCTGTTACGAGTCAGTGATTGAATAAAAGCGTTGAGTTGGTGAGTGAGTGAGTGAGTCACACGAGAGACTGTGAGCCATTGTAAAGGGGTTCATGTCACGCCTCTTGACTTCGATACAATAAACAGCGATTCTTATCAGGGTGACTCACCTAAATCACTGTTACTTAAACTGTCTTCTGTATTTATTTCTGTTTACTTGTTTTTTTATCTTAATTTGTTGCACTTGAAATACAAATATAAAGATAAAACAACAGAGAGACACACAGAGAGACATTAGAAGAGAGAGAGAGAGAGAGAGAGAGAGAGAGAGAGAGAGAGAGAGAGAGAGAGAGAGAGAGAGAGAGAGAGAGAGAGAGAGAGAGAGAGAGAAAGGAGATAGAGAGAGAGAGACAGAGAGAGAGAGAGAGGAAAGAGGAGACCCGAGAGGAGAGAGAGAGAGAAGACAGACAGACAGCACAGACAGAGAGAGAGAGACAGGACAGACAGACAAGAACAGACCAGATTGAAAGAGAGAAAGGATAAAGAGAGAGTCAGACGACAGACAGAGAGATTGAATAGTACGCAGAGAGAGATGACCAGAGAGAGGAGAGACAGAGAGAGAAGATGCAGAGAGAGAGAGAGAGAGAAGAGAGAGAGAGAGAGAGAGAGAGAGAGAGAAGAGAGAGAGAGAGAGAGAGAGAGAGAGAGAGGAAGAAACAGATACAGAAAAAGAAACAAACAGAAACAGAGAAAGACACAACAGAAAAGGAGGAGGGAGACGGAAGGCAGAAGCAGAGACAATAGACCACAGAGAAAGACAGAACAGAGACAGAACAGACAACAAAGAGAAAGAGGGAAAAGCATCGAGAACACGAATTTTTTTTCCTTCCCTTTAACACTCGAAAAACTCGAATTGTCTTTTATTTGGTATTTTTTGTGTGATTTTTATTTCTCTTATTTTCATACTTATCTTTTTGTTTCTTCTTCTTTTCCCTTACTTTTTCCTTTACTTTTCTTTTTATTGTGTCTTCTGTTCTTCTCTTTCAATAGAGTGTCTATATCTAGAGCTTCTCTATCTACTTAAGGAAATCAAATGGGGTGAGAAGTTATTGGGGTTAAACACTCTAAGGGAAAAATCGCGCACCACACGATGGTGACAACTGGGAGGACATTTCTCCTTCGTTTTTTCCACAAAATTTACAAAAGACCCTCTTCTAATGCTAACCCCCTGTACGGCCCTCACCCACCCCTCGTTCCATCACCTATATCTCGTAGACGCCGTTTATATAAAGAAAGACCTGCATTCTTAGGAGGCCTCACCCCACCCCCTCCACCTCTCCGTTTCTCCTAAACTCTTCCCTCTATCTCCCCTCCCTTCGCTCTCTTCCCACCCCTTTCCACTCTCCTTCCCTATCCTGTCACCTCTTCCTTCCCCGCCTTCCCCTCTCCTTCCCAACTCTTCTCCTCTCCTTCTCCCTTCCCTTGCCTCCCCACACTGGGGTAGCCCCACCTTCTAAACCCCCCTAACCCCTGCCTCCTACCAGATAACCCCAGTCCAATTAACGTGTTGGTTCGATCCCCGGTCAAGCCAAAGTCAAATCGTCAACGCGTTTAAGGAGAAAGTCTGGTGCAAAAACGAGGCATTTTAGACTTTAAGGTTTTACCCGAGGGGTGCGGTGAATTTATTTTGTATGCGTTTACGAGGGAAAGAGATGAAAAGAGAAAAAGAGGGAAATGCAGAAATCTGATAATATGGGTAGAGGAAAGAGTGAGAAAGGGAGAATGAGGGAGAGAAGGAGAAGAGAGAAGAGAGAAGATGGACTAGAGGGGATAATATGTAAGAGAGAGAGAACGAGAACAGAATCGAGAGCGAGAGAAAGAAAATAGAGCGAGAGAGAAAGGAGAAGAGAAGAGAGCGGAGAGCGAAAGAGGGTAAAGAGAAAAGAGAAGAGAGAGGAGGAAGAGAGAGGTGAGAGAGAGAGAGAGGAGAGAGGATAGAGAGAGAGAGAGAGGAGAGAGAGAGAGAGAGAGAGAGAGAGAGCACGCACGCCGCACGCGGCGACGAGAATAGAGCGAGAGAGAAAGAGAAGAGAGAGAGAGAAGAGACAGAGAGAGAGAGAGACGAGAGAAGAGGAGAGAGAGAGAGAGGAGAGAGAGAGAGAGAGGAGAGAGCGAGCGAGAGAGAGAGAGAGAGAGAGAGAGAGAGAAGAGAAGTGAGAGTGAGAGAGAGAGAAGTGAGAGAGAGAGAGAGAAGAGAGAGGAAGAGAGAGATGAGAGAGAGAGAGAGAGAGAGAGAGCGAGAGAGAGGAGAGAGCGGAGAGAGAGGAGAGAAGAGAGAGAAAGAAGAGAGAGAGAGAGAGCGAGAAGAGAGAGAGAGAGAGAGAGAGAGAGAGAGGAGAAAGAGAGACGATAGAGAGGGAGAGAGAGTAGAAGTAGAAAGAAAGAAAAGAGAAACGAAAAAAGAATAGATAGACAGAAAAACCCTGAAAAGATCACAACAGCAGAGAGAGAAAAGAAACGATACACGAAGAGGAAAGGGAAATCAACAATATCTGGATCCACGCCGGCCGCCCGCTGGTGCTATTCGCCTAAAAAAAAAAAAAAAAAAAAAAAACAAAAAAAATCTTTTCCGCTTTCCAGACCTCTTATCCCTTCTCCTTAAGTACTGATATTTAGAGGCAATTGCACTATTTTTGTTCCTTACTTGCAACTCTGGGACGTTCTAGAATAGGTAGACTAGTTTTCCGGCTTACACGCGTGCAAGTAAAAGAATTGATATTATAATGATCCAACAATGACAAAGAGTTACAAAAGTTAAAGGTTATTTTGGTGTGTACTATATAGGCATATATATATTTGTAGTAGATATATATATATATAAATACAATCTGGTATATATATATATAATATATATAAGTCGTATACTATAGGTATATTATTAGTATTAGTTATTATATATAGAAGACTANAAAATATGCATAATTTTGCTTTTGCATTTTTGCTCATAATCTAGTATTGAATATTCCTGCAGTAAGTCATCCAACTCACCACTACTACATTTTATGCTAAAGCATAAAATCCAGGAATAAAATGACCAAAGTATCTCACTAATATAACTAAGACTGATTTTCAAGGACTGAAGGAAATATACACATGCTTCCATTGGTAAGCCTTCCACACTGCTAGATCTTGTGCTACTGCCTATGTGTAGAGGATCAAGGAATAAAAGGGCCAAAGAAGCACCTTTCTGTTTAATTTTCTCTGGAAGCACAAATTGAGCTGTTTTTACCTTCAAAGAAATCACAACCAGTGCAGGCACCTCTAATTTCACAACCAAATAATTACTCAGTAAGAGCCAAAGACGGAATTTGATACTAAACTGTGGAACGTTTTGAAGAAGGGAGATTTCCTTTGAGCAACCAACCTTTGTACTGACACTGAACTAATCTTGAAAAACAAGATCATATTCAAAGTTCAACGTTCTTTTTATGATAAATGGAACATTTTTATCCATGCTATCATCTATTCAGCATAGTATGGACATTCTCTACCAGGGTATAATACACAAACATAACTAATTCCCAAAGTTCAACATAAGACTTTATCTGATGTCAAAAATGTGCTAACTCTTCTATATCACCTGCACTTTCACAGGTACAAAGATCTTTTGTTCAGCACTGAAATAAACCTAATTGTAGGCAAAGAAGGCATATAAATAAACACAAGTCATTAAAATAAATTTGTATTGGATATGCACCTACTATACACATGGCATGGATATGAACACAATCTTCCTCACTTCTTTAAGGAGTCACAACAGCATCACGTCCATTTACTCTGTAGATTTCCCAAATCTCTATCACGTTCCCACTAATTAGTTCCAATTAGAGGGGTTGTACTGTACACTGCCTGTATCAAGTAAAAAAAAAAAGAAGTATTTGTATATACAAACTTGTGATTCATCAATGAAAAATATATCTATAACTAATTTATATCTCTTAGCTTTAAGTGACAAGAAAACAGTCATGGAAAAACATTCCAGTCTTTTAAACATGACATCAGAGGGATGATGATGACCTGAGACAGATTTAAGGAGTAATTACCATTCTTGAAAACTTTATTGGTTTGCAACTTTGACCAAATTTCACCAAGAAAAAGCTAGATAAGGCACTGCATGTCTGACAAAAGAGAAAAATATAAGAGGACCATTACTTTGACAATGACACAACCCACCAGCACGACAAGAAAAAATAACATCAACAATTTATGCTGAATTATGGAAATGTTCTCTCCAATGGGATCGGGGGTTGGGGTTGGGGGGCAGGGAGTCGCATAAAACTCGTCACCTACAAATATGATCATAGCGGTAGTAGAAACATGGCATGGGCATATCTTCACACTCACACCTGTAGATGCACAGAGAATGGGTGGTGTCTCAGGCTCTCTCTCTCTCTCTCTCCCACCCCCTCCCCCCCCTGCCAGGAAGAGGAGGGGGGGAGGGGAGCAAAAGGAGAGAGACGTCAGTGAAGGAGGTCATGCCTCATGGGTAGGCCGGGTTTGCGTAGTAGGCTTGACGCGGAGTGGGTGTGCCTACAGGGAATCAGTACAAAAAGCCACATGGGTGAGGAGGTGCAAAGGAAAAAAAGGAAAAAAATTGTCTTAGTTTTCAAATTCAAACATAATTAATAATTTTGGACTTATATATATAAATAGAACTATATATAATTCTAAATGGGCTAACAGGCTTCATTATCTGGATGCGTATATGTTTATGTAAATATACGTGTGCGTGTGCGTGTATGTAACTATACGTGTGTGCGTGTGCATGTATGCAAATCTGTGCATGTGTGCAGATCTGTGTGTATTTGTATAGATCTCTGTGCTTGTGTGTGTGGATCTGTGTTCATGTATAGCTGTGTGTGCGTGCGTGCATGTGTGTGTGTGTGTGGTGTGTGTGTGTGTGTGTGTGTGTGTGTGTGTGTGTGTGTGTGTGTGTGTGTGTGTGTGTGTGTGTGTGTTGTGTGTGTGTGTGTGTGCATGTGCATGTTGATGTGCATGTGCTGTGCGTGTGCGTGTGCGTGTGTGTTGTGTGTGTGTGTGTGTGTGTTGCATGTGCGTGTGCATGTGTGTGAGTGTGTGTCCGTGAGAGCGAGAGTGAGAGTGAGTGTGAGAGTGAGAGTTAGTGTGTGAGTGTGTGTGCATGTGTATGTGTGTATGTGTGTGAGTGTGTGAGTGTGGTGTTGTGTGAGTGCGTGTGTGCGAGTGCGAGTGCATGCGTGTGTGTGTGTGTGTGTGTGTGTTGTGTGTGTGTGTGTGTGTGTGTGTGTGTGTGTGTGTGTGTGTGTGTGTGTGTGTGTGTGTGTGTGTGTGTGTGTGTGTGTGTGTGTGTGTGTGTGTGTGTGTGTGTTGTGTGTGTGTGCGTGTGTGGCGTGTGCGAGTGTGCGTGGTGGAGTGTGCGTGTGAGAGTGCGTGTGAGAGTGTGCGTGTGAGAGTGTGTGGGTGTGCGTGTGAGAGTGTGTGGGTGTGAGTGTGGTGGGTGTGGTGTGAGTGTGTGGTGTGGGTGTGGGTGTGGGTGGGGGTGTGGGGTGTGGTGTGAATGTGTGGCTGTGAGTGTGTGGCTGTGAGTGTGTGTGAGTGAGTGTGTGTATCAGTGCGTGTGAGCGTGTGTGAGTGTGTGAGCATGTGTGAGCGTGTGTGGCGTATGGGAGTGTGTGTGAGCGTGTGTGAGCGTGTGTGAGCACGTGTGAGTGTGTGTTTGTGCATGTTCATGTGTGTGCATGCATGGTATATATGTAGTATATGTGTGGTATGTGTGGTAAGTGTGCGGTATGCGTGTGGTATGCGTGTGGTATTGCATGTGGTATGCATGTGGTATGTGTGTGGTAGCGTCCGGTATGTTGTGGTATGCGCTGGTATGTATTTGGTATGCATATGGTATGTGTAAGGCATGTGTGTTTATGTATGTGTACATATATGTATGTATGAAATACATATATATGTATGTAAATATATAATAATATACATACATGTATACATATACAGTGTAAATACATATTTATGTATATATATATGAGCATATATATACATAATAGACATGTGTGTCAGAAAGTCAAATTCCTAAACAGATTAGACATGTCTCCTATAAATGTCCCTGGCATTGCTGATAAAGAGCTAGGTAGTCTGAAAGGATTATTCCCATAGTAACGCACAGGCCTGCTGCAGCCTCAAAAGCGGCTGGAGCCTCATCGCCTATGATTCTAGACCTGCGATGTTTAGCTCCGCTTCTTTTGTACGCACTCACTGTGATGCCGTGCGATGGATCGCGATCACCGATCAGACGAATCACACCACCAGTTGACGCACACGCCACGAGGCCCTTTCCCAGCCCTCAACCACCAGCCGCGTTCTCACCTCATGGCGCTTAGCCGTCCAGAGGAGGAAAGAGTCGAGAGACCCCCGAGCAATGCGGTTTGTAATGGTGATGAGCGTATGACTTGGCTGAGTAATGAGGAGCCACCCGGAGAGCGCGCGGGCGGGGCAATGCGGGCGGGCGCGAAATGGATGCCATTAAGCCATATGTCCCGGCCAGTCAGTGATTTCCGCGACGGCCCTTCGATGCTGCTGGCCTTGCTATCCACAGTCTTTCATACAGCGCTGTCGTACGCCGATATTCGGTCTTAATCGGCGTCGGGCCTAGGAGGAATCGCTGGACGAAGGGGACGAGGGAAGGATGTGCGGATTTGTGAGATGTTTCTCACATAGTCCTATTTCTGTCCACTGTATGTCATGTGTGTAATTCAGTCGGTCTCGATGGATCTGGCCGGTTGGCTATCTGTTATCGAAGAGGGGGGGGGGGGTGAGAGAAATGAAGAGAGGAGTTAGAGAAATATTATTTTATATATAATATATATATATACTATAATATATATATATATATATATAGAGAGAGAGAGAGAGAGAGAGAGAGAGGGGGGGTGGGGATGAGAGAATGAGAAAGAAGAAGTAGAGAAAGAAAGAGATTAGAAGAGGTAGAATGAGAATGAGAATGAAAAAGAAAGGGGGAGAGCGAAAGAGAGAAAGGAGAGAGAGTGAGAGATGATATATCTCCAGATATCTATAATTATCTATCTAATGTGTTACGTCGACAACAAAATTAAACACCTGCAGATACAGGGTCATAATCGCTACGAATATTAGTCACTAATGACACTCTATAATTCCTTCTGATGTAGCTTTGGCACATGGCTATTGAAACTCCCAATTAAATCGCATTACCAAACATCGACTATATAATAAAAAAAAAAAGTAATCCCGAACACTTAACGTAACAAATCAAATTAATGTTTTTTCATCCTGGGGTAGATCTGCCATATAAAGGTATAAGAAAGGTTTAAACGCCAGAATTATTTAGATACTTAAACGTGTTATGAACTTTAATATATCGGTATTTTGAGAAATTATAGCATAATTTCAACTCACGTGTGACATCGTTTAAGCCCACGGGAATTCAGTTCCGCTTGGGAGAGCTGCCTTCTCATACTGTAATCAAAATTGAGCATCAGCTGCATATTGCTGTTTTAATCACTATCGATATAGTTAAAGTCTGATCCAATCATTAAATTCAATGTCGTTTTTTTTACCATGTAAACCCAGCTTCTATACAGTTGGGCGATTGATTATAAACAAGTTACTACTTAGATTTCACAATATACTAAGCCTATGAGTGCCACAGGCCACTTTCACTGGCCATGAAGTTGTTGGCAACTTAATGCTAAAAATGTCAGCCTTTTGTCGCGATTTTTATCTGCATGGCTATTATTTAAATGCCAGAAACAAAGCTTTTGATTTCGTAACATTTTTATTCTACACTCTGCATTCAAGTGAAGAAAAATGTACATTGTGAAATTAAATGGCAAGCCAAATTGAACCCCATCATTTGCGATCACTGCCTCTAATTGCGCTCGAGTGAAAATTTTAAACAATTGTCATTGTGCTCATTGCATATTTCCTGGTATTCTTGTTACGTTTTAGTTGTATAAATGATACTAGAGCACTCAGACCGCAAACCTCAGGAAACACCCAAAAAATCATTGTTGAAATACATAATCTGCTACACATTTTTCGTGATATTCCAGCTGATATTTTTTTTTATGATGCATTGCACCAAGGGAAATATATAAATAAGCTACTAAATTCACGCAACAGAATTGCAATAACTGGTCCCTGGTCCGTGGCCAACTCACCCATAATCAACCAACACAATTGTCAGCAGCCTTTTACGTAACCTTGCTGACGAAAAAGCAAATGAACAAATCATCTTATATCCACCACCTGCTAATGAAGATATGTGTCTAAAACTTCCTGATTGAAACTGCAAGTATCTATATCCATCAAATGCCCTAATGATATATCAAACAAAATCCTCCTATGAAATATGGACCTGAACCAGATACTTAACTTGATTTGAAAGTATAATAAAGCTTCAGGGCATTATATGCTTTTCATGGGCAATATAAAAATCTTTCCAAGAAGGGCAGTGCGCCATTTCCAATGCCTGGGCTTATATAATAAACATTCTCATTTGAGAGGAATGGGTAGCACAAGGCAGAAGATTCCTTGACAGGTGAACCTTTTCGATAAGTCCTGTCAGTAGTGCTTACAGCGTTGACCAACTTATTGCTTTATCCCCCGAGAGCGGACCTTGGAGGCTCCAGATCACAGATTTTTGAGGCAGCCATCCTGACCGTGCTGCCTATACACAAGCATGGTCATCAAACCAATCTGATAATTATAAAATTCGTTCTGAGACTCTTACCTGTGATTGATAAACATAATTTTGAAATACTGGTTTTGAACACTTTTTCGATCTTAAGGCATGTCAGATTTTCTTCCACAAAAAAAAAAAGAATATCTTCACAGTCCTATCCAGGTTCTCTTAAAATTTCTATCTTCCCCCCTCTTTCAAGCCAAGAAAAAGAATATGAGTAGAGAGATGAAGAGAAAGGAAAACTCCAAAAGGAATGGAGAGAAAACGAGTTGAAACCCTCCTAAAAGAGCAGGTAAATCTTGCACAAGTAAAGAAAGAAAAAGAAGCAAAATGCACGTAAAACCGGAAGGAGAAAAGGTCTAGTTTGTGTCAGACTGATACATGTTTGCCGACTGACAAAGAGACAGGGAACAAAGGCAAGTAAACATTCTTCAGAGAGATACAAGCTTACCTGTTTCTCAATAGAACCCAGGCCGTTAAGAAGCAGAGAGAGAGAGAGAGAGAGAGAGAGAGAGAGAGAGAGAAGAGAGAGAGAGAGAGAGAGAGAGAGAGAGAGAGAGAGAGAGAGAGAGAGAGAGAGAGAGAGAGAGAGAGAGAGAGAGAGAGAGAGAGAGAGAGAGAGAGAAGAGAGGAGAGAAGAGAGAGAAAGAAGAGAGAGAGAGAGAAGAGAGAGAGAGAGAGAGGGGTGGGGGGGAAGAGACAGAGGCAGACAAACAAACAGAT